TAATACCGCAGTTCAAAATATATGAACTTCATATATTCATTGTATCTGATTTATCATCACGGGTTTATTACGAATCAACTTAATGGCCTGCTCCCAGTTGGCTTGTTAGCTCAATTGGTAGAGCGCTGCACTAGTATCGCAGAGGTCAGTGGTTCAAATCCCGTACAGGCCTGATTTTTTTCAGGTCTGATTTTCGCTATTGCATAAATAGCCCTCTCTACTGTGAGGATCGTGCATATTACGTATCTAATACCACAGTTCAAAATATATGAACTTTATATATTCATTGTATCTGATTTATCATCACAGGTTTATTACAAAACAACTTAACGGCCTGCTCCCAGTTGACTTGTTAGCTCAATTGGTAGAGCACTGCACTAGTATCGCAGAGGTCAGTGGTTCGAATCCTGTACAGGCCTGACTTTTTTTTTTTCCAGGTCTGATTTTCGCTATTGCATAAATAGCACTCTCTACTGCGGGGATTGTGCATGTTACGGACAACTTCTAGTGTTAGATGTACTCCTTCTCAATTAACCTTTTAAACCCTAAAACCAGTATGCATATTCTCCATGCTGTTCCCTAAACATTTCCTAAGGTGCTGACAAGGATAATTCATTACACAATCTAGACCTTGTTTAGTTGGTGATTACTTCCTTTATTCTTGTGACATCGACCTTAATACTTGATTCAGGGGTGATATAAGGAGAAATGAGCTGCTAGTTACTCTTGGTGGTCAAAAGGTTAAGAGCCAATGTACAAGCAAACAAATTACATGACACAACCATAAGGTACCAACTACATGTACACCAATGCAAGACCAGTTCAAAAATTTGCCATTACCAAAGACCAACAATTAAGAGAAAACATTAACAGGAAAACAAAAAACAGAGGCCCTTCCATGTGTGCACAGATTTCCTGATAACCCACTCCCTTCTTATTCTTACTAATCCAACCATTGGCCCAAAGAGTGAATGATCCCTGCTTAACAGAGAAGTCAACTTCATGCCATGCAGGCTTCTATATCTAACAAGCTAAAGGGTGACATTACCCCAGGGCATCACCCTCAAATCTAGCAGTTTTAAGTCGGTAGTAATTCATACGATTGAGCACGATAGCCACTAGTTACTAAGGATCGAGGGGAGACGTTTCAATGGTGATCTCTCCACGAATAAGATGCAAGTAACCGTGGACATAAACACTGTCGACTGTTTATTATTCGTCTCTCAAACAATTTTTTTTAATCTGAGAAAGGGCACCTTGAAACAGCACCTTAACTCAATTACTTACAATTACTCGCCTTAATGCAATTACTGTACATCGTTTACTTATAAATTCGGTGGTAATTGTAACACAGGTACCTCGAATCAAGCACAGATGATAATACGAAACCTGAATAATAAAACAAAAAGGTTGGGCTACCCTATGCCTTACCTTTGCTGCTTCTACATTTCCAAGTTGAACTCTACGACCAGACTCCCGTCTAGTGTTCTGATCTAAAAAAAGAGAGTGAAAAAATATTCAACGTTACATAACTAGGATGCAGTATTCGAGGACTAAGAGGAAAGAAAAAATTCTTACGTACTGAGAACAATAAGTGGTGTGGAAGACATTTTCAAACCTCCAAGGGCCGAATTTTCAAAAAATCTATCGCAAAATTCAAGATGGCGAGCGCACGTGTTACCTAAATGTCACATATTATCCAATCGCAGTTATCGATATATTTCTCAACCCCAGGTCTCCTAAAGACCAATTGGAAGTGTCGATAGAATCTAAGCTCCTTGTACGAATGAGAGCCCCCAGAATGCTCCTGGTCCTCCTGAAAGAGGTCTCCTGGGTTGGTTCTTTAACAGGGATAACTCAATCAAAAGCGCCAGTACGTGCCAATATACAGCGTTGATTTTGGTACATGAGACGCTTCATAGTGATGTCCAAACAAAACGGATATCCTTCCTCTTATTCAAGTGATAACTGATTGAGAATGAAAACTGCATTTCATTCGATTTTCCATCAACAACGGAAAACATTGCAGACCAATTTTTTACGTCACAGTTGTAAATTAGAAATTAAAAGAGAAAAGAGAATTAAAAGCTCATCGGAAAGGAAGAAAGATTATGAGGACACGGCCTCCAGTTACAAATTGTTGAATCATCTGTGCTTACTGAACAGATTCCATGTGAGAAACTACTTAATTGCACTGATCACTCGGTCAGTATGAAAATAACAAATTTGTCCTCTTTCGTATGAGTGCGCTAAGAAAGGAATGATAGCGCCTGAACAGTACTGATCGCTCATTAAGTCAGCTTAATACAGGTAATCCAAGCGGTTTGGTATGTCATGGTAGATACCTCGCCATCGGCAAATAAGGGGTGAAGAGCATACACTTCTCTCTCCGCCATTTCCAGGTATGTATACAATTATCAGCACCATACAAAACACTTATTTTTTACATAAACGGACGTACGGACCTCAAATAAAAAAATTTCAACTAATACACACTGTACAAGCTCCGTATGAATAAAATCTTCATCTAGAAAATTGAAGTCTGAATCCTCGAAAGTGAACGTGAATATAATTGTATAATCAGCCAGTGTCTCAGACAGTTAGGTTCGTGTGCGTGGTACGTTTGAAATGAGTTAGTCATTTTAGACAAAATTACGGCTGGGAAAGTCCTCTGAGGATGAAGAATATTTAATTCGCATCATTTAATTGCTTGAATCGATTCTTGTCAGAACCGGAGGACAGTGCTATTCAGATTATAAGTAAATAATACTAAACAACATTTTATCTCGCCCACTTTTCATGAATTAACAACTATAGTGTGCTTTAATTTTCTTTTGTTTTCTGAGCACAAAAAAGTTTTCTTTCTCTCTGGGTGTTCAGAGCTAGTAACATAAAAAGGGTATATTCTTTACAGTGAATAGTCACTATGAAAACGCATAAAAGGACCATTGAATATCAATTAACACTTGAAACATGTGAATGGCTTTTTAAATTACGTTTACTATAGTGTGTCACTTAAGATACCTCGATCACATGAAAGCTGCTGAACGAAACAGGCCTAAATTTAATGAGCCAAAACAGCTCTTTTCTTTTTCTCCCGGTGCATCTGTGATGGTAAGCACTTTTTATCGTATTCTTTTAGGTTTTGCTCGAAGAACTAACTACTCACATTTTCTCTGTAAGCTTTAAGACTTATAATGACTGCCTAAATGAAGATAAATGAGCTTCGAGAAGTTATGTTCGACCTGGAGAGATCTGTGTGGTTAAACCCTTAACTTTTTCCTATTTTCAGTTTCTCTTAATTTTCACACAAGAATATTATAGTCAGTAGGAGGGAATCGGTTAAAGGTAATGTTTATATATATATATATATATATATATATATA